ACCAGAATAAATATCAGTTATATTTAATACACTTATCGGGGGCATAAAATTTTTTAAAAAAAATTAAAAAATATATCGGGTGCCTGATTTTTATTAGATGACCGATAGATCCTTAACATATTTATATTACACCTATGGGGAACATATCAGTTGCCTATCAGTTACCTATTAGCTATCCCGATAACTACCCAATTGGCTCCCTATATATGTCTGAAATATGGATTTCGACCTGTGTTATTAATATTAACTAATTTATTTTTATTTTAGGTGACGAAAAATGATGGCAATGGTAACAACAATGGCAATGGCAATAGAAAGTAAGATAGATTTAAAATCTGATTATCTTTTTTTTTGTGTTACATTAACTAATTGATTTTCATTTCGTTTTTTTATAATAATGACAAAATGAAATCGGCACCAAGAAAAAAAAACCATGAACTAAAAATATTTCAGTTTGGTTTCAGTTTTTCCATTTGGTTCAAATAAAGAACCGAAACTGAACTGAACTGAACGGAAATCTTTTGGTTTGGATTTTAATGAACCAAACCGAACCAGAACCAGAACTGGCCATTCGGTTTTGGTTCAAACCGAACGGTTAGGAGCTTTAGTCATGATACTGATGATGGTATTACGTTTCTGTTGTCATGACACTGACAATGGTGTTACATTTCTGTCATCATGACACATGACTGAGTAGAAATAACCTAGACTAAGTGAAAACAATATAATTATATTGTTTCCACTTCATATAAGACATGCTTGTAACCTACCACCTGTGATTTACAGAATTCATATTATATTACTAAATAAATACTAATAAAATATATTAAATAATTATACTAACAAAATAAATAACAAAAAAAAAAATAAAATAATAATAAATAAAAATAAAAATTATTAAAGTGGAGAAAACTTATAGTAACACCATATCAAAAAGAAATTCTGATTTTAACTGATTTATAATATAGGATGCAATAGGATGGTTGATTATTACTGATTTTTAGCTGATTTATAGTATAGGAATTATCATTCAGTATAGTGATTCTTTTTGTATTTGACTAGTGTAATAATTACAATACAAGTAATAATATTATTAAGGATTCTTTTGTATTTGACTAGTGTAATAATTACAATACAAGTAATAATATTACTAAGAAATGGAACTGTTGTAAGTCCAGAGCAAATATTGATAAAAATTAATAAATTCATATATATGGCATTATATTACTGGATGAAAATTACATGTTGTGACAGAAATGTGACTGATCAATTTTTACTTTGCATAGAAGTATAATGTCCTCTGAACAATTCTTTATTAGATACTATGAAAAATGCTTCTTATTAAAATTATAGATATTGATAATTGGTACCTGATATAAATAATGATCAAAGATTAAACTTATTATTTTTTGTTAATTTTATTTGAAGTGTAATTTTTCTATAAAAAAGTTTGTTCAATTAAAATTATTCATTGTGTCACAATTAACATTCAAATTTTAAAATTTTTTTAAAAATTTTCACGTAGTCCAATACTTTTTATAGAGGAGTATAACTATAGAAAATATATTAAGAGAAACTCTCACCCAGGTGAATTTCTTACCTATAGTCCTCTATCTCTAAACAGTAGTGTCACTAATAAATGCAGGAAAATTTACCTGCAATTTACATAATTTACCATTCAAGAGGTACTAGTCACATACAAAAGAATCACTGTACTGAGTGGTGATTCCTATATTATAAATTAGCTAAAAATCGGAATTCCTATATCATAGATCAGCTAAAAATCAATTGTCCTATTACATTCTATATTATAAATCGGCTAAAATCGGAATTCCTTTTCGGTATGCCTATTCTTTTGTGTTTGACCTGTGAGGGTTGTCTAAAGCCGTATCCATCACATAATTATCTGAAATTACTTAATGTTAGGGTGTGGGCTGAAGGTTTAAGTAGATATTATATGTAAAATTGTCTCCTGACACTTTTTATTAATGCACCAAGATATGTTTAAACATTTGTAAATATATTGTATAAAGATTGTATAAAAAGATAGACTTCCAATATTTTAAATAATTCTTCAATTTCAAATTTATCAACGAGAATTAATTTGATTCGGCATTCACAAGATCTACAATTCCACCATAAATGTAACTGTCGAAAAAATAAAATAAAATAAAATATATTATTAATATTAAGTATATTAATATATTTAAATAAATTATAATATAAATAGTATAAAAATTTATAATATACTTAAATATAAAATTAAAACTCTCAGCTGAAATATCGGGTTTAGAGATTGTTTTAATATTATTCTCGTTTTGAGGTGCATTGGCTAATTCCTTATTAAAATATGATGACCTATATCGTAGTACTGCCGAATGAGCCGTAAAAGTTTTCTTTTCTCATCTTTATCAACTTCGATAATCACATTATAATCTTCATTGTCATTTAAGATCGCAGTAAAATCTTGAGATAACTTGTCAAAAAATTTGAATGCCATTGTTAATAATAATATGCTATGCGAAGCACATGCAAAATAAAATGTTGTGTTAGTGTTCTAAAATCCGGTCACTTGTTCGACGCCCTGAGTAACATTTTTATGACTAAATAATGATTTAATAATAACTTTTTTGTGAAATTTTTTTTTGATATAAGAGATTGTAGTTTCAATTATTATAAGAAAGTATGGCAACTCAAGAATTACCTTTTGAAATCTTAAGATTCCTCCCCACAACTGGGGAAGAAAAAAAAGGTTCAGCCATTATTGTATTGCAAGAATGGTGGGGAGTTAATGACCAAATTAAGAAACATGCACAATTTATTTCTGATAAAACTCAAATTATGTGCGTAGTTCCTGATTTATATAAAGGAAAAATTGGTTTAAATGCAGAAGAAGCAAGCCATTTGATGAATAATTTGAATTGGAAAGAATCTTTAGAAGAACTCGAAAAGCTTTCTAATTTTTTGAAAAATGAAGGTCGAGAGAAAATTGGAGTTGTTGGATTTTGTATGGGAGGTGCAATTAGTCTCGCCTTGGGAGCAAAACTTCTCCCAACGTGTCCATTATCCGTCGTAATTACTTGTTATGGAATTCCACAAAATTCACTTATTGATATATCTAAACTTGCTACTAAAACTCCAGTTCAAGGTCACTTTGCTAATAAAGATATTTATAAAGGTTTTAGTGATCCTCCTACAGTTGATACATTTGAAAATAAACTTAAGGAAAGTGTAAAAGGCGATGATACTGCTCATGAAATTCAGATTTATCGTTATGAAAATCAAGATCATGCATTTTTGAATGATGATGAACAGGCACTTCAAGAACGTAAAGAAGCTCAAGATTTGGCATGGAAAAGAATTTTCGAATTCTTTAAAAAATATTTGGGTTAAGAATTTAAATTCTTAATATTCACGATATTTGCTCATGATATAAAAATGAAGAATATATAAATTTTAATATTTTAATATTTCCTTTTTTTTTTTTTTTTATTATAAAAAAAAAATATACTTCTGGGATCGTAACAAAATTTTAATTTTAATTCTTTGCATAAAAGAAGATTTATTTACAAAACAATGAATTTTCAATCCAAACAATGTATCAAAAGCTAAAGTAATATTTCCTTTTTAAATAAAGATAACTACTACTCTACTAAGCAATTTATTTAAGATTAGTTTATACCAGATCAGATACACTTATAAATAATAATAATAATATAACACGCCTCTTATTGCCAGCCATATTGCTTGGGTAATACTATCGTATTGAAAAGTGATATAAACGCCTCTTGATCAAGTTCTCGAACAAGATCAAATTCGTCACTATATTTTTCAATATTTACAATACTCGATTTGTTTATAATAAAAAGGTGATAATATTACCAGTAACAACTGTGATTATATATATTTTCATTCTAAACTGACTCATCAAGATTGTGGCGAAGTTCAATTTAATTGTAATTTAAGGAAATTTAATAAATTCAAAAATTAAGATCGGGTATTATTTATAAGGGAAAATAAGGCCATCAAGAAAAAAGAAAATGGTGGCTATGTATTTTTATAAATCGTAGAATAAAAAAAAGTAATGAGCTAACACAGCCCCACAAGAGAAATAATCATAAAAAAAAAAGGAATGAAAGATAAAAAATTATTCCAAGCCCACACATAACCACACATAATTTATACTTAGTCAAACACATCATACATAATTCACTCATAATCCAAAAGATAATAATTCCTTTAAAATTTATACTGAAGTAAAATTAATTTTAAAAATTGTACATCCAAAAAATTAAATAAATATCTTTTTCTTTAAAAAAAAGAAAGACAAAAAAAAAAAATCAAAGAAAATCAAAAAAATTAGGAGGGGTGAAAGAAAGAATAAATGATTTTTTAATTAAGTTTTTATTTTTTAATGTAATTTATATATTCATATAAATTTATCAAAAGTATTCTTTGCCACATCTATATATACATATATATATATCGAATTTTTTTCAAATTTTTTTCTCAGTTTTCAATGATTATTAATCGTAAATTTGTTGAGAGAGATACCACCACATCGGATGATAGTAGTAGTAATAATGATAAATTAGGTTCTCCTGTGGTGATTGCTCTTATTATTATTGCTGTTGCAGTTCTTGTAATTGGATTAATTATCATTTTATTCATTTTCTTCCGTCGTCGAAAAAAGCCTAAATCAAGTCGTGGATTAAAACCACTTCATTTATCAGCAGCGATTTCACCTGAACCATATCGTAAAGAAATGCGTAAGAAATCTCAACCCAAAGCTCCTTCTCCTTATGAATTAGCAGAGGAAGCGAAAGAAGAAGCATTTGAAGAATCTTTTTCGGAAGGTGCAGTAGGAACACGAAATTTACCACAAAGATCACAAACTATGTATGGAACTACACAACCTTCGACCTTAATGGCAGATTTATCGTCATCTTCTCCACATTATGATGTAATGCAACAACAACATCATTTCATGTCTTCTGAAAATTTTAATAATCGACAACTACAACATCAAGAACCTGAACAATTACATCAAGAACCTACACAACTACACCATGACGAACCAGGAGAAATAGAATATCCACATCAACAATAATAACGTAATGATATCATATAAGATTAATTAAATTAGTTTATAATAATAATTTTTAATTTTTAATTTAGTTGTCAGAATATTGGGGAGAGGAAATTTTTATATACATATTAAATGGGAAGAACGAATTCACGTTTAATTTTCAATTCATTTCTGTATACTGTAATGGGCATTTTTATACCATTTTTTTTTTTGTATCTCTTCAATGTATATATTTAATCAATGTATCGCATTGTTTTTGAAAAAAAAACCGACTTTTATTGACTATATTGACTATATACTAAAATTATTTAAACAGATATATTTTTATCAAGATACATAAAACTTTTAAATACTTTTCTATTAAATATTTTTAATTATTTAATATTTTAATATATTTCTGCACCTTTTAATACGTAATGAATTAATCAATATTTCTATTTAGAAAAAATTAATTTTAATATCTTCATCTATTGACAACATGGCCGAGTGGTTAAGGCGTCAGACTTGAAATCTGATTCCCTATGGGAGCGCAGGTTCAAACCCTGCTGTTGTCGACATATGTCATTTTTGCAATTAGTTTTATCATTATTATTATTTCAGTTGTTCAAAATTACTTAAAACTCACTGTTTATTTAGTGTTATTTTTGCAATGAATTGAAAAGTAATGAAACTTTTAGTATTTAATATTTTATTTTTATTTCTGTTGCTTTTTCATGTGATCTTTATTTACACGTGACCGTTAAAATTTTAATAATTTGCTAATGATAATTCACAGGTGTCATGTATTATTGTTATGAAAAAATATATTCAATAAATAATGAATATAATAATAATAAAGTAATTTATAAAAAAAAAAAAAGAATACAGAGAGGGGGATTGTATATCGGCAGCTAAAGCAGATTTCTAAATGACTGTTATAATATAATTGCTGTATGTCCAAATGGATGGTGAAGGTTTGGACTAACACTCATAATATACGGAAATATCTTTTCATCCAAAATAATTGTATTTAATAATAAAATTTTTTCAAGTTCAAAAATAGATTTGGGATATTTTTTAACTTTTCCGAGATACAAGGAATGAAAATCACATTTAATAAATATTAATATTTTCTCTCTTACTTGCAAATGTTAGTAATTTTAATCTTTATGTTGTAGATAAGTTAATTTACTGTAACCAAAACTGATCGAACAGATGAAATAATTGATTTTATTAGTAGAGTCGTCTGGGAAACAATAAATGATCCAAGACTTCATAAGCTGAAAGATAAAAATAACAAATATACTGTAAGCATTGTCGCGATTTATATTATTGCTACTTTCTGGTTTGTCCTGGAAATCTAAAAATGCTCATTTTTACAATACCACTTTTTAAATTATATTTTTTATTGCCAAGTATGAGCAAATCTCCTCGATACATATCTGCCTCTAAAATGCAAGAACGATTTGGAATTTCATCAAGCAGTCTCAGGAGGTGGAGTACAGGTGGAAGAGTACAAACCATTCAAACTCCCGGAAGATTTCAATTTTATCAACTTTTTGATGTCAACAACTCTTCTCTAAAAAGAACAACAAAAAGCAAAAATATGCACCAAGAAAGACAATTAAAGATCTCCAAGACAAGCATTCAAACCATGAAATCATCAAAGACATTTGTTCTACAAATGCAAGGGATTCAATACTATTGGAAAAGTTTACAAAGGAAATGTCCGTCAAATAAGGAAAAACGGCAATTTTTTTGACAAATATGACAGGGAATATTCAAGGATGATTGTGGATGTCTTATAAACAGGCAAAAACAAGCAAAAACAGGCTGCAAATAGGAAATCCAATTTTTGGCCATACGTGTCAAAAATTTGGCAGATTTTTAATTTTTTGACATGTGCTTGGGAGTCAATCTCAACTTTAGGAAAAAATGATATTGGAAGAATTTATTGTCTTGTCATGTTCTTGACAAGTTACAAAGCAAGTGATCACAAAAGGAAGTTCAACATAAAAAATTATACAAGATGAAAAAAGCAAGCAAGGAGAATCAGAAAAAAAAAGATTCAAAATCTCATTGCTGGAATACACAAGAAATTCACTAAGTGGATTGTTGAACAATACCGCACTATATTATTTCCTGAATTCGAGACAAAGAATGGTGAAATGAAATAACAGATGAATAGATACCAAGACAGAAAGAGAATGCTTGGATGGTTCATTATCATTTCAAACAATATTTGATCAATAAGACAAGAGAATATCCTTGGTGTAAAGTTGTAATCTGTGATGACCGTTTCCTCAATTGAGTCGAATCAAATTTGATCAATTTTGAGCAAGTTTAATTGAGTGGCAGAACTCAGATCAAAATGGATTAGGATCAAAAAGCTATAAGAAATAAAATAAAATGAATAAATAAAATAAATAGAATAAATAAATTAATTAATTAACTAAATATTTCATTAATATTAGCACTATTTCAAGTATTTTCAATTGAATTTTTATTTAATTTAATAAAATTTAATTTATTCTAGACAAACTTTTTGATAAATAAAATCCCATAATTACCATAACATAAAATAATATAATTAATACAATATAATAATAAATTATTATTATTATTATTATATTATACATTGTTATCGGATGATAAAAGAGTTATATCATCTACAGAATCACATAATGTACTATATCTATAAGCATTTAATGGCCAAGTTTTACCATCACTTTGCCTATGAATTATTAAATATAAATTAATGATAAGTATATTTATGAAAAAAAAATACAAATATAAAAAAAAATATACATACAAATGACTTATAGGCAGAAACCACAAATACCAATAAGGACCAAGTACTTGTATAAAATTAGCCCTATATAATCAAAAAAAAAAAAAGAATTAATTAATAAATAATCAAATAATAATAACAACAACAATATTATTATTAATAATTAATTAATTAATTACTTTTTCCCAATATCAAATAGATTTAAATATCCAGTCCTAGTAATTTCACCATCTCTTCTTAATCTATAATTATGTTTTATAATACTTTCTAAAGTAGTCTGATTTGATAATATAAGAGAAGTATGAAAAATAGTAAATCCAATTAAACATAAACCAAATATAGCACCAATTAATATAAGAAATGAAAAATTTAGGTCAAGGTCAAATATTGCCTAAATATTAAAATAAATATTAAAATGGGTATTAAAATAAATATTAAATTAATATTAAAAATAAAATATTAAAATAAATATTAAAATAAATATTAAAAAAAAATATTAAAATAAATATTAAAAAAAAATAGTAAAATAAATATTAAATAAATATTAAAAAATAAATATTAAAATAAATATTAAATATTAAAAAAAAATGAATACTAATAATAAAATCTCTTACATTATAAGAAGACCGAGTAAACTGAATAGTAGGTGGTATTGTAGCAGATGTTATAAAGAAACAATAAATGGTTCCCCATAAAATAAATAAATAAAAGAACTTATGATTTCGATACCCTATACAATTATTTAGCCTAAATATAATCAGAAAATAAATTATTATAAATTATTATTCCAAAATATTAAAATATTATTATATATTTTATTTTGCTTACCATGGACAATGGCTAATAAAAAGAAAAAAGAATTAAATAATAATTAATTAGATATTAATATATTAATTCATGAATATATATAGAAAAATAATTCAATAATTTTGATACTTACTGATCCATTTTTAAAACACACCTAAAATTGAAAATATAAAATAATTTATTTTTAATCATATATATTAACTTAAATATTTTCTGTCTCTTACTCTCTTTCTTTTCTGATCATTTTTAATCATTTCTAATTATATTTAATCTTTCCTATTCTCATCTATTCCCTATTCCTTATATTTCCCTCTCTCTCTCCAAAATTAAAACAATTATATTTATAATTCTAATAATGAAAAATAAATAAATAAAATAAATAAAAATTTTACTTACTTTTTACAAATCCGACAATGATGAGCTCTATCAGGTTTATCACAATCACATTTTTGACAATATCTTTTTCCTCCACTTTGTTTTACCATTATCGATCCCAATGAAATAGGATTTCCATTTTCATCTAATTTTAAAATACTTCTTCTAGATTTATTATTATTATTATTGTTGTTGTTGTTATTGTTATTGTTATTATTATCATTATCGTTATTGTTATCGTTATTGTTGTTATTGTTATTATTATTATTATTATGATGATGATGATGATTATTATTATTATTATTATTATTATTAACTGATGAATCAATATCCACGACAATATTCTTAATTTTATTATTTAATGGAATATCATCATCATCCATCTCCTCATAATCATCAATTACTCCTTCTGAATTTGATGAATTCAATAAATTTAATGATCTAAGTTCTTCATATTCATCATATTCCCGTTGTTCGGTTATTGATTTTGACTAATAATGAAAATAAATTTACGAAAAATGTAAAAAAAAAAGTATAAAAATGATATAAAATAATAATAAAATGTAAATTATTTATTTTAATGTAAGTAAAATATTAATAATAATTACGTCGGTAGAATACCCCGGAGTAGTAAAAGTAGCTTGAAGATAACTCCATAACATTAAAATCAGAAGAGGGTGATATAATATTATATATATCTTCGCTTTAATAATTTTAAAATAAAGATAAATAAAATTAATAAATGATTATAAAAAAAAATAATGATAAAAAAAATAATATAATTATTAATATTTTTTTTGTTGTTATTACCTTGAGTAGAATTATTATTCATTAAATAATTAATACATAACCGAAATACGAATGCATAATATGACCAACTAACGATGGTTATAAAAAATATTACTGGAATATAATTTATACAACTTCCAATTTTTACCATAATTCGAATAAATTTATTATTTTCCGATAACATTTCTAGTCTATCCCAGATATTATTATTATTAGTCATAACGATAAGATATTATATGCTTCTGGTAGTCGTAATATGTCGTAATATATCGAAGACGATAAAAAGTAACGATGACGCGAAGAACAATTGAAATATGTAATATGCTGTTAATTTATATTTTATATTATGGTGATAACCTCCCTTTAACCTTTTTTGGGATAAAACTTATTTTATTTTATAATACTTTACGTATTATAATTTCATTGCGCTCGTGATTTAAACTCTTCACATTTAAAAACTTAAATACACAATATGTACCTAGATGCTAAATATAATTATTAAAGTGTTACAATGTCAAAAATTAGACACAAATATATGAAACCCAAAATTTTTTATTTACAAATATATTATATAATATATATCAATTAAAAATTTTTAAAGAAATTGATAGTAATAAAATTTTATATAAATCAATAAAAAGTATATATATATATATAATTATATATATATCCAATAAGATAAAGTTTAAAAAAGTTTTAAAAAAAAAAAATGTTTTTCTATCCCTTTTCCCCCTCCCAATTTAAAGTATTAATAAAACTATTTATATATTATTTACATCATATTAAGAGAAAATTTACTAAATTTATCAAATAAAATATTGGAAAAATAAGGAACATTATAAAACATCCAAACAAACATAATCATGAAATACCACATATTCGCTAATTCAAATATACTGTTTAATTTTAAAGGAACTACTTTAGGTGGTGATGATGATTCGAACGAAGGAAATTTTCCTTTAGCATAAAATTCTGACATCAAAGCATCTTTTTCTACCCAACGTTGCCTTAACCATTCAGTAAATTTTTCCTCTTCTTCGGGAATTTCCGAAATCAAAAATTTACGAATATGTATGTGAACACTTCGAGGATATTTTCCTAATATATACATTCCTCGAAGTGTATAAATATCTTCGGGAAATTGTCCCACGGAAATCCCTTCGAATCCTATGGTTAAATCATATATATAATCTACTGATTTTCTTAATGCCTTTGTACAAAAATGTAATCCTGTAGAACGTGGTAATAAAAGATGTTCAAGATCTCTCTATAAATATAGATTCAGAAAAATAGATTAGGATATAAATTTGGAAATATGTTCAGAATATAAATGTATTTCCAATAGACACGTACCAAACCATTTTTTTCAGAATAACTTTTTGATTTATTTCGAGCCGATTTTGATACCACAGTTCCTTCTGGAAATATAAGTAACCATAAAGGTTCTTTCGAATCAGCTAAACGATCCATGGTCTTTGTTAATACATTTCTATCTGCATCCCAATTTCTTTTTAGAAATATGAATTTGAAAAATTGCATTCCCTATTAATAACAAATAATATTATAATAATAACAGTGATGATAATAAAAAAATATTTCCAAAGAGAATATATGTAAATATTTAATAAATTAAATTAAATAAATTATTAAATAAATAAATATCTTTGAAATTAATATCTTACCCTAATAATAATAATAATAATACCAAATAATAATAATAATAATAATAATAACACCAAATAATAATAGAAATGTAAAGAAAAAAGAAAAAAAGAAAAAAAAAAAAAAAGAGAAAAGAAAAGAAAGAAAGAAAAATAAGTAAACCCGAAAAAATCAGAGAAATCATAATATTTCTCATAAATTTTTTTGTAATAATAAAAAAAAAACTTACCATCCAAATAATGGTACCCATTTTAAAGAATTCTTCAATATAATCTTAATAGCACCGTGAGCATTCCCAAAATACGAAAATATCCTTTAAATAACAAATAAATAAACGAAATTAACTAAATAAACGCGTGTTTTAAAACATAAATAACATGAGAATATTGTATAAAACAGAGAAGGTAAAGTAATTTTATATAATTTAATTGAAAAATTTATTAACATTATTTACCATATATAAATCCAATCAGCATATATCTAAATTGTTAAAAATTAAATGAAAAAAATAAATTAAATCAATAAAAATATTAAATAAATAAATTATTAAATATTAAAGAAAATAAAATGGCAAATTTTATATCATCAAAAAAAATTAAATTAATTAAAATAAATCAAACCTGATGGTTCGCCATTAATATAAGTCTTTCCGGCATATCTAATTCAAATTTACTATTATTTCCATCATTCCACGTCGGACTCACAATATTTTTAGCACTTTTATCCAAGGTAATTATAAATTTACTTGGAGCAAAAAATTGATTCATAGATACAAGTAAATTACCGTAACATCGTTGAGTATAGATAATGAAGTTGTGAAATAAATTATTGGGAAATGGCAAAAGTAATAAAGCCGAGAATTGGGCCAAGTTGATCACGACACAATGAAAAACTTTAAAAAAAAATAATTAAAAATAATAAAAAATTCAGTAAAAATATGAATTCGTAAATTTCATTATGATAAATAAAGTTTTCATGAAGACTTGCCATAGAACCCAAAGAAAACTACGGAACGAACTAACCCTTGAACAAAATTCAATGATTGAATAACCATCTGGTAATATTTAACAACTATTCAACTAAAGTTTAATTTAAATAAGCTACACTATTTCAATGTTTATTTTCAAATGTTTAAATTTAAAGAAAGAAGTAAAACTAAAGAATAGAAAAAGGGATGTTTCTTGTTATTTATTTTTATGAGGAAATATCAATGAATACCTATATCTGACTTATACAACTACGGGTTGTACGTGTTAGACTCGTGACGTGATTGAAAATATGCAGGTAACTTGAATTCACACTTATTATTGCCTAATTCAAAAAAATATTGAATAAAATTCCGGATGTTCCGAATGTTATATTATATATTAAAAAAATAAAATAATAAATTGAACCCGTGATATCACAAAAAAAAAAAAAAAAGCAATCTTTCATTTATTGGGCGTGCATAGATTGTTTATTCCCTGTCTCTAGTTTTGGAAAGTCATGACGCTGACATCTTTAATGATGTGTATTATTTTTACTATAAATAAAGACCTAAATAGATTATTCATTTCATCTTGTTACATTTAAAGAAATTATATTTATCTATTTGAGAACTATTCCCTTTGTCAAGATTTCCAAATTGATTAATTCGTGATCCATTTACCAATCAGTGAAATTTTTACTAGTCATAAATGGGTAAATTCATGCAACTTTATGAAAAATATTATAAAATATATTAGATCGACATCCGCTGCAATTGGCTACATAAATCCCATCGCATTTATATTATATACAACCATTATTATAAAAAAAATGACATTTAAATTTTTTGACAAGTTATTAGAGAAGATTGTAATGTGATTTTTGAAGTTGATAAAGATGAAAATAAGAAAACTTTCACGACTCACTCGGCAGTGTTACGATATCGTTCATCATATTTCAATAAAGAATTGACCAACGCATCTCAAAATGATAATAATATTAAAACAATTTCTAAACCCGATGTTTCTAATGAGAGTTTCGATATTATTCTTAGGTAGGTAATAAATTTTATATTATTTAAAATATTAAAAAAAAGTTGCAATGAAATATAAGTAATAATATTTTTTGTAGATACATTTGTGGAATTGTAGATCCGAAACAAAATTATCTTTGAATTAATGATCCTCATTGGTGAATTAGAGCTTGAAGAATTATTTAAACAATTAAACAATTAGAAATCGATCTCATTGAAACTAAAGCTTCTTGGTTACGTACACACTTTTCTTTAATTTATCATACAATCTTTAAACAAAATAATAAATTTAAATTATTAGAAAAATTTTGCAATGACATCATTACAAAACATCCAAATATTATTTTTGATGCTGAGGATTTTAATTCTCTTCCTGAATCAGCTTTGATATCAATTATTAAAATGGACAATATACAGATGGAGGAAATTAAGATTTAGGATAAAGTTATCAAATGGGGAATCAACCAAAATCCAAAATTAATTTCTAAACTTGAAGAATGGAATAATGAAGATTTCATGGCATTGAAAACTACTTTACAAAATTGTTTACCTCACATTCGTTATTTTCAAATATTCGACAAAGATATTTTACACAAAATAAAACCTTATATGGAAAATTTCAATAAACAACTTTCAGATGATTTGCTTCAACATCTAATAATTCCTAATGAACCAGTTAAATCAACAATTTTACCGGAAAGAATGATTTTGATTTCAGAATTACCTTCTCGAACACAAGAGAAATTTTCCATTATTATTACAAATGAACATGCAGCCGAAATCTCTTCGTAAAGATGCAACGTATCTTTTAAACAATATCCCATATGAATTTCAATTAATATTATGAGGTAGCAAAGATGGATTTGATCCATAAATTTTTTTTGGAACATTTGTCATGGCCATTCTAATACAGTGATAATTTTAAAAATTGCAAATATAAATGAAATTATTGGAGGATTTAATACTTGGGTGGAAACAAAAGAGAGTTTTATCTTTTCATTAAATAATAGGAATATACTAAATTCAATTCTTAGTCGAGTGAAGAATGAAGAAAAGGCTATTCAGTATATTGGCTCTGGATATCAAGTCAATTATGGAATATGTTTTGGAGAATGTGAGCTTTTAATGAAAACACAAGTATTTAATTTTGCTCAAGATAAAGAAAAGTTGGTGTAATTTAAATGGAATACCCAATTATTATGAAAGAAGTATTAGAACAAAAAATGAGAAATTTTTAATAGTAGAATATGAAGTATTCAAGGTTGTTAAAAAATCAATTTAATTAAATATTGTAATTATATATGTAAATGATTTCTATTAAAATATTACTATATATCATATACGTATGAAATTTACTATTTTTTTAACATTTTTTATTATAGCTTAGTTAAAAAAAAAACAATTATTTAAAAATTAAAGTCTCTTTGTAACAGTTGATAATAACAGATAATGATGTTGCATTGAACAAGACAAATTATTAATATTCATGTATAAACATTGTAAGCAATATACATACAGATTCTTCTATTTCACTATAATGTCAAGATTTTAATTGTTATTCTTAATATTTATTAATAAATAAATTATAGTTTTTTTATTATATTATTTTTTTGTTTTATTATACAGTATTCTTTCTATGTTATCAGTAATTATTTTTTTCATAAATTTATTATTTATTTCCAGATCTTTGTATTTTATTTACAGAGGTAGGAAAAAAAAGAAAAATTATAGCCCTTCATAATAAGCTTCCGTAGCTTTTTTTACTGATAAATATTATTTTTTGATGCTGAGGACTTTTAATTCTCTTCATGAATATGCTTTGGAATCAATTATTAAAATGGAGAATTTACAGATGGAGGGAATTAAGATTTGGAATAAATTTATTCATTGGCGAATCAACCAAAATACAAAATTAATTTCTAAACTTGAAGAATGGCATAATAAAGATTTCATGGCATTGAAAACTACAAAACTATTTACCTCACATTCGAATTTCAAATATCTAGCAAAGATATTTTATACAAAGTAAAAACCTTATATGGAAATTTTCAATAAACAACTTTCAGATGATTTTCTTCAACATCTAATAATTCCTAATGAACCAGTTAAGTCAACAATTTTACCAGCAAAAACAATTTATTCCAGAATTACCTTATAAAACACAAGAATTATTTTCTAAAACAAGATCTCATATAAATTAACAAAGATGAATTTGATCCTAACATTTTTTGGAACAGTGACAATTTTAAAAGTTGCAGATACAGACGAAATCCTTGGAGGATATTAAAAAAAGAAGAAGATACTTAAATAAAAACAAAAGGTAGTTTTATCTTTTCATTGAAAAATGGGAATATCCAAAATTCAATTATTAGTCAAGTGAATAATGAAGAAAAGGCTATTAAGTATATGGTTCCTGAAATTCAGGTCAATTATGGCATATATTTTGGAAATTGTGAGCTTTTAATGGGAACACAAGTATCTAATTTTATTTGAGATAAAAGATTTGGATAAAAATTATGTTAATTATGAAAGAAGTATTAGAACAACAAATGCCAATTTCTAGATAATAGATTATAAAGTATTCAAGGTTGTTAAAAATCAATTTTATACAATATCATTCACATTTATAATTACAATATTTAATTAAATTGATTTTTAACAACTTAAATATTCATATTCTACTATTGAATACTTCTTTCGTAATCTTTATTTATTCAAACTACATTCAATCTCTTTATTATGCATTAAAAGCTCACAATTTATAAAACATATGCGATAATTGACTTGATATCTAGAGTAAATATAGTAAATAGCCTATTCTTCATTTTTCACTCGACTAAGAATTGAATTTTGTATATTCCCATTATTCAATGAAAAGATAAAAGTATGATTTCATTTGTTTTATCCCATTCTAAAGGATTAAATCCTCCAAGGATTTCATTTGCACCTGTACCTGTAATAGAATGGCCATGACAAATGTTTCAAAAAATTTTAGGATCAAATCTATCTCTGCTACCTAGTAATATTAATTGAAATTCATATGGGATATTGTTTAAAAGATATGTTACATCTTTACGATCAAATCCATGATTCATGAAGAGATTTCTGCTGCATGTTCATTTGTAATAATAATGGAAAATTCTCTTGTGTTCGAGATGGTAATTCTGAAATTAAAATCACTCTTGCCGGTAAAATTGTTGATTTTTTTTTTTAATGCCATGAAATCTTCTTCGAGTTTAGAAGTTAATTTTGGATTTTAGTTGATTCCCCATTTAATAACTTTATCCCAAATCTTAATTTCCTCCATCTGTAAATTTTCTTTTTTAATAATTGATATCAAAGTTGATTAAGGAAGAGAATTAAAATTCTCAGCATCAAAAATAATATTTGGATATTTTGCAATGATGTCATTGACAAAATTTTCTAATAATTTTAAATTTATTATTTTTTTAAAGATTGCATGATAAATTAAAGAAAAATGTGTATGTAACCAAGAAGCTTTAGTTTCAATAGGATGGATTTCTAATTATTTAAATAAATTCTTCAAGCTCTAATTCATCATTAATATTTGTTTCGGCATTCACAAGATCTACAATTCCGCTATAAATGAATCTACAAAAAAATATTATTTACTTATATTACTATTTGCTACACTACAACTTTTTTTAATATTTTAAATACATGTATTGTAAACATAAACATTAATTAACCAATGAAAAAAAATAAATAAAATAACAGCTGAGGGTTCGAAACACGGATCTCAGTGTAGAAATACTTGCCAGCTACAACTGGACTCTGGCTCCGAACCGTTACTAAATATCTCTTTTTTTCTCCTATAAAGTACATTTTGTGTAACTAATAATGTGCACGTTTTTTTTTCCATTTTGGTTAACAAAAAGAAAGCCCATTACGCAATGTCTACGTAACTTTGCAATAATAAATAAAATCTAAATTACGATTAGAATAAAGAATTGAAAATGTGGGTTTTTCTTGTTTTCTTGTTTTCTTTAAAATATTTGCGATTAGAAAAAAAAAATAAATTCCAAGAATCTTGACATGATTTCGTCGTGGGTATATACGTGGCTTATATAGAAACGTTTATCGACATATTAGGATTTCTTTTTAGCGATCGATCATCAAAATCTATAAACGGTCAAGATTATATTATATTTTTTTTTAGATCGTGCCAAGAAAAGGGATCATATAAATGTGTAATATTTATCTTTGCCCCTTGGATGTTAGAATACTTTTAATATATTTGGAAACTATACATTTTTGTATGATGTGAAATATAAAATGATTAAACATATCTCATTGTCTAAAACTCGTATCACCTCATACTAAATTCAATATTTAAACTCCAAATCCGAACTTTTTTTCTAATTTTCAGATATATTTGATATTCGATATTCTATACTTATTTGATATATTCTTGATATTATTTAATTTTCAAATTTTCATTATCATAATCTTATAAAAATGAAATTGAAATTTTTATCAATATTTTTCATAATAAACATTTTAAATGTTTTAAATGTGATCGCCACTACTAACGTTAGACGTTGTTGGGATCATATAAATCCATTAAATCCAAAAGAAAGAATAAAAGTACCTTGTTATTCTACGACATCAGAACGATCAAATGATTTTGAAAAACGTGAAGATGTTAATATGTTTAATGTTACGTTACGTTGTCTAGTTGATGATGAAACACTTTGTAATAAAGTACAAGCAGCATTTGACGAAGCAGGAAGAATAATTACAGAAACCATATTATTTAATACTCAAGTAACAGTTAATGCTTCTTTTGTTGATTTTTGTACAGAATATCAATCATGCACTACAAATGGAACTATTGTTCTTGGTATGTAAAATGATAATTAATAAATGTTTATTTTATTTACCATTATAATAATTAATTAAAAAAAAAAAAAAATAATAATATATTTTAATTTAGGTGGAGCAAGTCCTGCAAAAACTATACAACTAACGGATGATGATGGAATTGATAGATTATTTCCTCAATCACTTGTAAAACAAATGAATTTAAGCTATCCACTGGATTATTCTACATTTGATATTCTCGCATTATTCAATAGTAATGGAAATTATTGGTTTGATGGAGATGGATCAATAAATCAAAGTCAATCAGATTTCTTATTCGTAATATTACATGAATTAATTCATGGATTAGGATTCACTACTGGTTATGATGATTATATAAATTATGAACCTGAAGCATTAACACCTGAAGTTACCGTCGATCCAATTTCCCCTTTATCTGATGCATTCACTTTTAGTGGATTTGTGGAATATATATTTGATAAATTCATGGTTATCCTACCATCTGGTAAACGAGTTACGGATATTACCAAACAATTAAATAATTTTACTGGAGAAGGCGTATTTAGTTCCACCAATGAATTTGTAACTAAATTTAAAGCATCACCACAATATCCAATTGCAGAACAAATGTTTACTAATGCTTCTACACCAAATTCTTTAGGATTATTACCTGTAGGTTCAAATGATGCAAGTAAAGCTATAATTCTTGAAACTTCATTAGTCAATTATGTACCTGGATCAAGTATAAGTCACGTTGATTTTAAAACTTATTCGAATACTAGTGATTTCTTGATGAAATATTTACAAACTCCTGGAATCACATTGAGTCAATTTATAAAAAATGGTGGAGATTATTCAGGTGGCCCAATTGGTCCAAAATTGAGATTATTTCTAAAATGGATTGGATACATTGTTAAAAATGATACTGTAGATATTTTATATGAACCAACAACTGATAATAATAATGGTAAATCGAATTCTAATCATAATTATCCACCAACAAAAATATCAATGATAATTTTATTATTAATAACGACATCTTTCTTTTCGTGGATGTAACAAGATCAATTACATATTCATATTATATTATTACTATTATCGTTTCTGTATATTTAGTTATATTTATTTATTCCCTTTTACATGACATGTAATTTAAAGATTTAAATATTTATTGATTCTAGAATTTCATTATAAACATTAGATGATCGAAAAAAGATCGATTAAAGTAAAATAAAGAAATGCAATTTAAAATTAATAACAATTTAATTATTTTAAAAATTTAATTATTTTCGTTCGTAATAAAGTTTATTTATTTAATTCGCTTTGTAATTTAATAATTATATTGAAAATTCCAATTTCATCTCACTTCTGTAATTACAGTTATATGATCATCCGAATTCTTTGAGACAAAATACCGTGATTTGGTTAATAAAAATAATATTGCTTTTACGTAACATATTAATTACTAATATATCCCTGCTATGTCATGATTCAATATCTTCATCTCAAAGATTTAATGAAAGAAAGTACCACAATTACTACACCAAGAGATGATTAGGTTTTATATTTTTATAATATATATTATACGTATTTATCTTGTATTTATTTTATTTTATATTAATAAAGCTGTGATTATCTCGTACATAATCGTGTTTACTTTGTATATTTATTTCTGGGATTTTATCAAGGAACACAACATGAAGAATATAACGAATTCTTTCATATCAAAAAGATCTCAATAATTTTTTCAAACAGCAAGCAGCACGAGATAAGAATTGTGAGAATCATGTTTGGTTATTCCGCGATTGTACATGAACAATTGAAAAAGCTACTCACTTTTGTCAAGAAAAATTTTTTGATGCACATACGGATCATATTGTGTGTCAACTCAATTAACTAAATTACAAATGAAAAAATTTACAATATGGCGATAAATCGTAACTGTTGAAGCTGATCATCTGAATTTTCTTCATCCTCCGCATACTGTTTTTCTCCACAAATTCAATCATTTCTTTAACGAATCATCTATAAAATGACAAAACCCGTTAGAAAAAATAATCGTAAACTACAAATATCTACACAAAAAGTAAATACTTGCCTTCCATGCAATATAATTGCAGGAAGTACTTTTGAACCGAATTGTGCAATTTTTGAATATTCCAACATCTACACTATACAAGCAATTAAAATTATGAAAAATTTGAATTGGGTCATATGGAAAATTGATGCAATTACATAGATGCAATTAAAATTTAAATAATTGAGCAAAGGCTTTTTACTTTTAAGTAAAAAGTTTTGACTCAATTCCTGAAATTTTAATTGTGCCTACATTAATGGTGTTGGCGGAAATCTCCGAATTTCCACCAAGTAGCTACCCAATTACTACCTTGAAATTTTTTAATAACAAAGTGTTGCAACCTGAAATCAAAGTAGTTACTTTTGTTAGAGATAGCTACTTTTGTTAGAAATAGCTATTTTTGTTAGAGGTAGTTACTTTTTATTATAGTCATATAATAATTAAATTTTGTAGCAGATATTAAATTTATTAAATTGTAGAATACTTTATAAATTACAGATCGGAAATAATTTATTATCGTTGCTGCATATAAAACTTCTTATTTTAATAAGTAAATCTCAAGATGGTAACTAAGTAACTCGAAAGCCAAGAATCAAGAGTATCTGTTATCAAAATATCAGATATATTAATTTTAAATTGAGAGAAATATGTGCTCTAAACTTTTCCGTTTTAAAATTAAAAAATCAGCATTTAAGTGCTTATTATACTCTCAATTCATTTAATAGAGGCTAGAAATTGTATAAACAAAGTTGAATTTAGTTTATAGTTTTAAGTTTACTTAGTAATGTTTTTAGTATTTACTTATAAAATAAAAAAGTTTAATATGTAGCAACCATTATGAATTATTTTTGATTTTTTATATTATTATAAAAATCCAATTTGGATGAAACAACTATCTTGATGAGATGAATCTAATGGTCTATAATTCACTAAAATTGGATCACAGGTTATAAAATACTGGCCAAAGTATCCCTAGGGTAAAGTACCCCCTGTAAAATGTACCTGGGTACAATATATGATATTATTAGGGATAGGAATCGCGATTACGGACTTGCGATTAATCGCGAGTCAACTATATATTCAAGTCGAATTTTGGCAAACGATTAATCGTGATTTTCATAATCGTTGAAAATCGCCGATTAAATCGCAATTTTCATAATCGTTTATATTAATTTGATTATCAATGATAATCAAATTAATATATATAATTTTAAAAAAATTTTTTCTTTTAT